TTAGCTCAGGGCTAATCTTCCACAGCAAAAAAAGAAGATTGGCAATGGGTGTTAGCTCAGAGCAAATCTTCCTCACCAAAAGAAAAAGAGAGAGAGAGATTATTACACATTATGGACCTGTGAATGGCAAAACACACCACTACCTATGAAGCAGTCTTGCAAAGAAAAATATCTGAATCTGGTAAAGCCTGTAGACAGCTGTAAGAAATACAGAAGACAGAGGAACATGTGAAAGTATACCATGGAGATGCAATGAGAAAAACCCCGGCTGTGACAAGTTTCTACAGGACAAACAACTTGGTTTCTTCAATACATAAATTGCAAGGAAAAAAATATTAGGGTGGGAACCCATATATATTTGAAAAGATTTAACAGACAATCAACCAACTTCAGTATGTGAACTTTATTTGGATCCTGCTTCAAACAAACCATAAAAATAAATTATAATATTTATGAGACAATTGGAAATTTGAACACTGAGTATTTCATATTATTAAAGTATTATTGTTAATTAGCTTAGATGTGATAATGGTTATGTTAAAAATGTCCTTATCTTTCAAAGATCCATATTGAAATACTTAGGGATGAAAGGATACAATTTCTGCAATTTGCTTTATTTTACTTTTTGTTTTTTGAGGAAGATTAGCCCTGAGCTAACATCTGCCACCAATCCTCCTCTTTTTGCTGAGGAAGCCTGGCCCTGAGCTAACATCCGTGCCCATCTTCCTCTGCTTTATATGTGGGATGCCTACCACAGCGTGGCAAGCCAAGCGATGCCATGTCTGCACCCAGCGTCTGAACCAGCAAACCCTGGGCTGCTGAAGCAGAACATGTGAACTTACCCGCTGCGCCACTGGGACCAGCCCATGGAATTTGCTTTAAAATAAAATGAGTGGGAAAGAGGAAGAGGACTTATGGGTTGGCCATCATGGGTTGTTGGGTACATGGGGTTCATTATACTCTCTGTCTACTTTTGTTTACATTTTACATTTTCTGTAATAAAACATTAATATGCAATTATATATAATGGGTTCTTTGGTGTGTGTGTTATGTGTGTATAACCATCCATTATAAGGAAATAGAACAAAATGCTAATAGTGATTATCTCTAGATGACAGAATTATGAGTGATTTGGTGATTTTTATTTTCTTGTTTTTACTGCATATTCTATGGTTTTCATACTGCACTAATTAGGAAAATGTTATTCAAAAAGAAAAATCTTTAATTATTTAACAATACCATTTCCACAATTCAGCTAGAATTCACTTCTGACGCAGTGAATAAAATAACTTTGTATGTTTGAAATATAATTGGCAAGGTGAATTATTTAATATTTAATTATATTCAGTTTTGAGAGGGTACATATAATAGTCCATGAAAATATACCTCTAAAGCAAAGTTTGAGGTTTGGAAATTCCGTCATTTGGTGTAATAAGATAATCTTAAATTTAAAGCTTAGGCATAAACAGTTAATTTTTTTTTTCTCCTTCTTACGTAACACGAAAACAACTGATCCAGTTTGGCACCAATTTCCTCCACCAAAGTCACCTTTGTGCTGAAGTTCAGCACCTCAGGTTTCAGTCAAATAACTTGCAGATAAGAAAAGGTTTCTTAAAATTTTCTCATAATTTTCCTACAGTGTTAGTTCCTGGCAAAGGGGGAAAGTCCTGTCTCCGTAGTTAAGTCAGCTGGGGGACTGCTTCTCGCTCCTGCTTTCTCACATGCAGAGAGAGCGAGCTGTGTACATCACTCCTTTTGTATTGCTGGAATAAACGTAAGGCCCCGACAGTAGATAGAATTAAAGAAAAAGACAGTTGATGGGCATTTTTAGTATATTCATAGATAATATGAGATACTGCAGGGTTTGTCATTCAATTATTAGAAAATTAGTCCTTTAAGATCAGAAACAAATTTTAAACCAGCTTAGAAAAAACAAGTATGTTTTGTAACTATATTATCATCTGAATGTTCTATAATCAGGTAACTGTCCTGTCTTCATTTATTTTGAAATGCTTTTCATTTATCTAACTTTCCTTCTTCCTTCAGTTCTCCAAACGAGACATAGTCAGCTCCTGTTAGGAAATACTTAACAGATTATCCCTGAAGTAACATTTTGTTCTGAACGTAGACTTTAAAGCGAAGTCTTTGATAGATGTAGTTATTCATTTGGAAATGAAATTTTCTGAGTTAACAGCTGGAGGCAGATAATGTTGATTTGGGTCCATTTCTTCATTTGAGGTTCCAGGGATTATTATATGCTTCATGTGTCTACACTTGCAACTATGTGCCAGGCTTTGTGCTAAGTATTTTCATATATGATCTCAATTATTTATTACAGTAGCCCTGTGAAATAGTTATTTTGGAGAGAGGTTAATTTGCTAGCTCAAGGTCACACCGGAATCTAGCTGATTGCAAATCTTGTGTTACCACTTTTAAGTTCTGAAGGATGGTGATTGAGAGCACTGGGAGCAGTTCTTGGTGTCTAGTACGGAGGCTGGTACTAGAAAATAATGTCAGGTCAGTTCAAAGACTGATATTCATCTGCCTCCTTGTAAAAAGAGGGTTCTCTGCCTCCTTCACAACTGGAAGACGTGCAGGAGGCGCAACATGCTTCGTATCGCAGCGAAGCGGGGGGCAGCTGAGATGGAGCGTCTCTTAGGAAGAAACCAACTAAGACGTGCCGAGAAGGGAGAGGGCCATCTGCTCTTCACAGCAGAAGGCAGTGCAGCTTTCTGCCTCGATGTTTTAACAGATTGAAGACGGGCAGACATTTTTAAGCCTGGGAATAAACATTGTTTTGACTTAGTGGCCAACAAACTAAAGGTCAACCTGAGAAAGTTGATTCTTGACATATTTCCAACAAGGGTCACTTGTTTCAACAGAATGGACTCAAAGTTAAGAATTAAAAACCTCAATTTTGGTAAATTATATGTTTGAAATACTGAGGGTTCTAATTACACGTACATCCCAAATGCCAGTAGAGCCCCCTCTATTCATTTACTCATAACTTCATGTAAAACTGTTTGGGAAACGGTTTTTTAAAGCAATTTACCTTCAGGCTTAGTTAAAGAATGGAATATGTGAAAGAAGGACTTTCCAGCTTCTGTTGACTCAGTGATGCAAAAGGAAAAATATGTTTATAAGAATTTGACTGCTTGGTAACTCAAAAATAATTGATTTAAGAAACTTGAAATTCCACTTGTTAAATGCTGAATCCGATTAGAAATTTCAAACGTAATTTTCCAAAGCTTCTGCTTGTGCCAGCTACTAATACTACAGAATCATTCTGATGGGCATCAAATTATTAACTATTCCCATAAGGTTGCACTAGAAGTCCCTACTAGGAATATTTTATTTGTGGAGACATAAATACAGGTTACACAACACCTTGTAAGTGGACTTGAACTAAAGGATCTTAAAAATAAATAGGAACAACAAAAATAAAACATGACTAACTCTCCTGCCACCATCAAAACAAATGTTTCCAAGGACGTGAAGCCAAGAAAACAGAAATCCATAAACACAAAGGCCAAGAGAATCACTTCAATCTACTAAGCCGCTCTAAATGACAAAACAAAACGAAAACCCAACAAAAGCAAAAAACCCCACCTGCTTTGAAGGAAAGAATGCTGAAGAACATTGACCTTTCCTGCCCCTTGGCCTACCACGGAAATCCAGCCTGCAGCTGATATTAAAGTGACTGAATCTCCCAAAATTATGGGAGATGGGTGTCTTAAAAATGCAGCAGGTTTGATCACATAGGTCACATCCACATTAGCCGAAGCAGTAATTAACAAGGAAGGGTAATCGACTTCATTCATTTTAATAACCAATTCTTTTGCCACAGAGCCAATCCAACTTGATTATTAAGACACAATGATATTGGAATGAACTATTTTTCAATCCAAGAATTTTTATTATGGAGAGAGCGCTTGGACAATTTAAGCAATTATGTGCTTCATTTCTCCTTTTCTGTATCTCCATTCTTGCTTCTACATAAAGTATTGAATTTAACTCGTTTCCTTCTTAGTGTTTTAGTCTTCTTTTAGAAAATTTAAACTAGCTTTTAAAAGGCTGCAGGGTAAGTGTTGATGGTTAGCCTCTATGAGAAATGATCTTAGTCCCTAGAGCCCAGACTGCTAGCCTGGAGGGCAACAGGCCAAATTCTGGCCGCTCTGAAAAACCCAGCATACCTAGAACATAGAAAATCTAAGGTTTGTACCAAGATGCTTGTCAGTAGTTGTGTTAATACGTATTCTAGATTTTACCATACTTCTCCCAAAACACTTCCACGGATGCCTGACCCACACAATCTCTCCTTACATCCACACACACATTCTTTCTTTTCATTTGGATACAATGTTGCTAAAGAGCAAGGTCACTTGAAAGAAAGCTGAACTTGGAGTCAGAATCCAAGGGTGAGTTCCAGTTCTTCAGGAGACCAGTTAAAGGCAATTGAGTGCAGAAGGTAAACGTGCGCTGCGAAAGCCAGAATGTGTGGGTGCAAATCCTGTTTTTTCCACTTTCCAGCTATGTGACTCCAGGCAAGTTATTTAAATCTTGTGCCTCAGTTTTCTCATTTGTAAAATGGTGATGATATCAATAACGACCTCACAGAGCTAAACATCCTAATTAGAATTAAACGTCCTAATTAGGCTTAGAACAGAGCCTCAGGTAATCTAAGCATTCAATAAATGTCAGGAATCATTATTACCAGTTGCATGACCTTGTGGACCTCACCTAACTTCTCTGAAACTCTTTCATCTTCTGTCCAACCTCACATGGTCCTTCCGAAGACCAAATAAATTCATGCAACGTAAGCAGCAGTCACTTTAAAAACATAATCCAGTATTAAACAACTCCTTCCACCAACTAGAATTAGGTCCTTTCTGCTCTGTGCTTTTGTAATACTTAAAACACACGCATACATACATAGCACACACATGCACAGACACCCCTGTTATAGGACTTGTCACATTGGATCATAAGAATTTGCTTACCTGTCCATCTCCCCCACTAACAGAGCATCCTCTGATTCACCTCTGCACCCTCAGCACGTTGGACATACCTGGCACAAACAGGTACTCAATAAATATTTGTTTAAATGAATATTGTCCAAACAACTGAGCAGGAATTCTCAAGGCCTTTGCCAGGAATGATGGATTGTCACTTTTTGCCAAGTGTCCTCAGTAGACCACCCAGAAATGTGCTTGTTTCTCCTCAGGCACAATATATTGAGATTCTGTCATTTTGAACACAGTCGATCTTGTGTAGGTGCATTCACTCATTCTTTCAACTTAATAAATAATTATTGAGCACCTGTTGTGTGCAGGGTCCTATGCTGGCCTCCATATAGTGCACCACAAGTGGCAAATGCCCCAGTTAATTCAGTCCCCACCCCCCATACTGAAAGAACCTATTTACTATAGGATTGTTTACGACTGGAGATAATAAGCTGCTTGGTTTGATTACTTCATTCAAGTTATAGAATCTCAAGGTGGGAAAGAATGATTTTCTAGAAGTGGAAATCCTTCTAGAATAATAGCTAAGGTCAGGGATCTAACTGCCTAAGTCCAGATCCTTGCTCTGCTTTGTACACAGTGTAAGACTTCGTGCAAGTTACTTACCCCCTCTAAGCCTCCTTTTTCTCACCTGTAAGATGGAGCTAGTAGGATCCATGTGAGTATTAAAAATAACAACTCACATTAATCCTTTATTGTGGTACCTGCCATATAGGAAGCACTCGATGTGTGTTTGCTGTTGTGATTAACCAAATGCCTCACCCCTGTGTCTGAACTTCCCTCACAAATATATTCAGCAAATGGGGCATGAATGCCCAGCTTCTGCTTGCACACCACCGGGATCACGGAACCGACAACCTCCAGCAGTTGTCCCCTTGATTGCTAGGCAAATCTAACTGTTGATAAATTCTAGTGGGTTGTAATATACAAGCTTACATCTGCTCACGAGTCCTCGATCTGCCATTTGGGATTACCCAGAAGAAATCAAATCTCTCCTCTGCAGGACAGCCCTCCTAACTTTGGAAGGCGGCCATGTATGCTAGTATCACCCTCCTTCGCACGCATCCACGTACAATCTCAGAGCCTGTCATCATTTCTGATATGACACTGATGACCATATCCCTTCTTATCCTTGTTACTCTTCTTGAATAATCTTTTGTTTATCAATGTCTCTTTTAAAGGCTAGAGATCAGAATTCATACAACAGAACAAAGGTGGTCTGATCGCCAGTGAGTACAAGAGAACTACTTCCCCACTCGAACACTATATTTCTATTAATACAACAAAAGATTGATGTTTTTTGGACGTTACATCACACTGTGTTGACTCATCATCTATTCACAATCAACAGGACACTCTCAATCTTCCTACGTGAGCAATTGTAAGCCATCTCGCCCCCAACCTGTACTTGTATAATTGAATTTTGGGATCTTTGAGTACTTTATATTTGTCCCCATTAAAGTTTATATTGTTAGATATGATTCATTATTACATTTTGTCAAGATTGGGGGGGGATACTGATTGTACCATTCAACTTGTTATTCTTTCTAGTGGTGTGTCATCTGTAAATTTGTTCAGCATGCTGTCAAATGTTATCATCTTAGTCATCAATGAAAGTGTTAAGGGGACAAGGCTACAAACCAGACTTGCATTAGATCCCCAGAGCCCTGGATGTGTATCAACCTCTTAAAAACTTTTCTTAAAGACATCATTCATTCAACCAACAAACATTTACTGAATGCCCACCATGTACCAGTTACTATTCCAAGCACGGAACCCGTAGCGGAAACAAAACAAAACCCCTGCCCTCACATCCTAGTAGAGGAGAGAGAGAATAAACAAAGAAGAAGGTAAGTAAATAATACTAAGTTTTTTAATGAAAAACTAAAGCAAGTAAGGGGTTAGAGAAGGTTGGCAGTGGGGATGGAGTGGGGGCTTGTTCATAGGCAGTATGGCTAAACAGAGTCATCGTTGAAGTTTGATTGCACTGCTCATGTCCTGGCCCAAAAGGAGTCCCAGAGAGGGCAAGTCTTTCTGATTTCTCAAAACTTGCTTTTCTCTATGTGGAGTCATATTAGGAAAAAATCGATACAACAACGATGAAAAGTTTAAATAGTCATGAAACAAAAAAGAAAATTTGAAAAGACATATTTCCTCAAGAGACTTCACAACATTTCTTCGTTGTCATAGGATATGCAAACATTGTGAGACCACCTGGACCAGCGGGGAAGCCAGTCACACTTCGCCATGAAGACTCCAGAGAGGGGAATTTAAAAATGATTGCTCTAAAAGTATGGTATCTGGTTGAAAACTAAATAATAGAGGAAAAGGCAGAAAAGCTCACACTTACCTTACTCCAATCCCCATGTTCTCAGGTCTGGTGCGGGTTATGAATCCAAGAGTTCATGGGAAATCAGGAAGATGGAACGCTTGGGTGAGCCTACACCACGGCTCAGAGAGTCTGGATATTGAACGCTGGAAAAGAAGTCCGTGAGGGACAGGTTTGAAATCTACCTCTATTAACTGCTCTCTGCTCATGATTCCAACGTTGACAAATTCTTCTAAATAGTTTTAAATAATCTTTAAATCCCCTTGATGTTAGAGGGGCTTGATAAATCTTTGTTTACTAAAATTCTAATTGCATCCTCTGATTGGAAATTTATTGTATATTTTCACAATGATACTTTCAACATTTATATTCATTTATTCATTTACTGAGCATCTATTTTGGAACAAATACTTTGTTGGTGCTGGGAATACAAAGGCGAGTAGGATAAATATGATCCCTGATTACAGGGACTTTACAGTAGACCTCACAGCAGAGGGCAAGATAGAAACAGGAAAGGCAGCTCTGATAAAGCAGTGTGTTATGAAGAAGAAGGTACCAAGAGCCCTAGCAGGTCACCTAACCCTCACTTTGGGAGAAGTGGAAGTTAGCGACTTCCACAGGGAGACTTACAAGGTATGAAAGAATTAGTCAAATGAGGAGGTGGGGCAAGTCTGCTTCAGGTGGAGGGCAGAGCAGATGCAAGATTTGGAGGTAACACAAATGACTGGGCATGCTGAGCAGTTGAGCAAGGAAAATAGTTCAGCATAGCTGAGGCAGAGTGGTCAGAGATAAGACTGGAAAGATAAGTAGGACCGAATTGTTCAGAACCTTCTAGGCTATGTCATAGAGGAGGTACAGTCTACTGGAATGTGTGATCACTTGAAAACTCCTTGTGGAGGTTTGAAGGGGGAGGAGTCAAGACTGTTGCTCAGATTTTTGGCTTGAACAACTAGGTGGACAGTGATATCATTCACGAAGACAGCAAAAATACAAATGCAGCATAAAGGAGACTGCGGAGAAGAGGGCGAGTCCAGCCTTGGTCGTGTTCTGTGTGTGATGCCTGGGGAGCGTCCAGGGCAGCAGGAGGCAGTTTGATCCAGAAGTCTGAGGATACAGTTTAGTCATCAGAACACAACAGACAGCAATCGAATCCACAGGGATGAGAGAGATATCCTGGGAGAGTGTTGGGGAAGAGAAAAGGGCCCAGGAGAGAACCCAGAGGAATAGCTTCAAGGATGGGCAGAGAAAGGATGTCTGAAAAAGAGAGTGAGAAGGTGCAGGAGGAATAGGAGGGGAAACAAGGAGTGTGAGGCATCATGGAGGACGAGGGAAAAGCACGTGTCCACACGTAGGTTGAAATGCTGTCAAGAGGTCAAGTAAGAAGAGGACTGTGAGAAGCTCCCATGGGGTGGGCACCAAGGGCATGCTGCAGCAGGTGGCATGAGCAGCAGCGGGACCAGCGGGGGCAGAAGCCAGGTGACTGCGAGTTGAGGAATAAAGGGAACATGAAGACAACTGTTTCAAAAAGATTGCCTTAAAAGTGGAAGATACAATCCCTACGTTTTCTTCCCAAAGGTAGGAAAATGGGGCCACGAGGAAGGCTCCCGCGGTGTCTTTACATTAGCTCAGCAGACTGCACGGCAATGCTTGTGGTAGGCACGGCCTGCTTGTGGTAGGCACGGCCTGCGAGTTGGACAGCAGTCCCACCACCAGTGCTGGTTGTGGCTGAAACAGTAGAGTAAACCAAGTCTGCCTTTTGTGTTCTCCTCCTAACTCTTCTTCTGCGCGAGGCCTCTGGTGAAGGGGCTTCCTGGACCCAAGGCCCCCTGTGGTGCATGAATGCACACCTGAGCAGCCCACCTCTCTGAGGAGCCTAACAGCAAAATGACCTTCACAGGCAAAAATCTGGTCGGACAGAATTGTCACACTGTCATTACTGCTCACCTATTGCCATAACTCATGTATTGGGACCAGTCAGTGGGAGGAGAGAGGAGTTTGGTCACCTTGGAGTCTGGAGCAGGCAGCTGGCCCCACAGCTGGCCAGGCAGTTATCCATGCAGGGATCCTCTCTGAGAGCAAAATCCAGAAGCCAGAATAAATGGGTCAGGTGGAAAACAGATGACCACAACCACAAGCAATGCTGAAGGTGGGTCCTAGGGAGTGAAGGTGAGCCAGGACATAATGGATGAAGACTGTAAGGGGTTTGGATGAGAGGGGAGGCGCTCAGAACTAGAAATGGACTGAAGCTGTTATGCACACAAGGGCCAGGCACCATTATGCCAGACAGGTGGTGTATCAGCTCTGTGATCTGAATCCTTCCTCTGTGCCGTTTCACTTCTCCTCCCTTCATGACACCAAGTGAAGTTTCCGACATTCACAACAATTCCCAAAACCTTATTTCCACAACCCCTCTCCTGCCATTGTAACTCTGTATTCCAGGAAGAAGATAGGAAAGCTCTGGCCTGCATCGTGCTAATGGGGGGCCCTGGAGCCATCGGCAGTCACTAACCTGAAGAGGTTGTGCTGGTAACTATGTTCAGCCTGAGACCCGGGAGATGAAGTAAAGGCCTGACACGTTCATTTCGGCCCTAAATCAATAGCAAAACTAGCTACACGGCTTGATTACTTGAAACATTATTTCTAAATTGTAATCATTCCAGGGTATTTATGTTCTCTAAAATGCACACTATGACTGAACTCAAAGGCTTAACTGTCTTCAGTTTGTGATTGCAGCACAGAGAGGAGATAAAGAACAGTGGGAAACATCAGAGAGAAATACAATATTTTTGCCTTGTGCACAGACTAGCTAAGTTTTCAGCTGAAGATTTTTTTTTTCATTTCACTCAAGTCAATAATCATTTACCCACTGGATATTGCTTAAAGCAGAGTTTTCATCTAATTCTCATATAACAAGATTGAAAAGGAAAAACTAAATAATAATACCTCATTTGTGTATAGGACTTGTCTTTCAAAGAAGACGTCATAACCCACTTTATACTATCTAATTTACAGTGGCAACACTTTTATAATGTAAATACTAGTAAGGGCTATTATCATGTTACAAATTATGCACAAAGGAAACTGAGGTAGTATGTGGGAAAGAAATGACTGGTTCAATGTAACTCCCATTTGAGAGGTGTAATACCTAGCTTGTTCTTTTTTTTTTTTTTACCATGAAGCTATGCTTTAGATAAACATGTTTATTAAGGTGTACCTTGCCCTTAAATTTTAAAATGAAAAATACTTTGCTTAAAAGAAATTACAAAGACCAAAATGTTGATGTATTCTGCAGATCAAATCTCTCTTCCAAATCTAGATCAAAACCAATCAGCTTCCTACTTCCCAACTCTGATTTTAATCAGCACAGTTCTCACTATCCTGTGCCGCACATTTTAGGAGGCGAAAGTGGGTATCACTCTCCTCTTCCTGTGCATTCTGCTGCAATCATCTCGTCATCTCCACTGGATTTGGAAAGTACCATTGCATGCACAAATTCTGCATATATGTGAAGCCACTGCCACTTTCATGCTTATACTAGCTTCCATTTAGGGGGTAACATTTTTCTGATCTTTTCGTGTAATTCATTCATTCATCCATTCACACTCTCAAGCATTCATGCATCCACTCAACAAACATTAATGGCGTGCCCAAAATAAACAAAAATTATTCTGGATGCAAAAGATAAAAACAGGAAGAAGACAAAATCACTGACTTCAGGAAACTCACAGCCCGGTGAGGGAGCCAGAAGAGTTGACAACTGGAGTTCAGTGTGTTGGTGTGGAGAGGGAGTGACATGGGAAAATGGTTTGAGGAGCACAGAGAGGGGATCCGTCCCTGCCTGAGATAGTGAGAAAGGCCTCCTAGAGAAGGCGCGCCTAGATCTGAGCATGCCAGGAAGAAGGGGATTTGGGTATCCAGGCAGAGGGCACGGCCCGGGCAAAGGCACAGCCAGATGAGTAAGGGCACCCAATGCATTTGGGGAACCACAGGAAATATCTTGTGACAGGAGATTCTTCAATATTCGATGGCTGGCTCTATTTTATAATCCAGACCCTGGATGTCACCATAGTTAATTCTATAAATGGAAATGTGTGGTTTCTGGGTTATCTTCCTCAGTCATGTAAGTGAAAACACATTCTACATGGGATCTGTACCAAAGCGCTTGTTGACAGTCTGACTATTTGAGGAATGTCACAGAGGGAATGGCATGAAATCAAAGCCTGGGGCTGGTCTACCTAAGGTCTCTATTCTCCATATTTCATGACTGTTACACCAGGGTGGTGACAGGTAAGAACAGCCTATCTATTTATCAAATACAGGTGATCGCTTAGCCCCTCCCCTTTGTTATTTCAGCATAGTTTTTTTTTTAACAGAAATACTTTCAAATGCAGCATTTTCAAATGCACTGCGTTAGATGGGTCGGGTTTTTCCTGTTCACCTCTTCCCAACCATTCAGACTAGGTGCTGCCCAGCCTCCAAATGATGAGAGCCAGACTTACAGGCTTCTTGTCAGCACTGCACACACTAGCAAGAGGTGTTTGGAAACGGTCTCTGAAAATCCTACACCCAAGTCCCTGCAGGGACATCTCTTCCCAGAAGCCTCTGAGAAGTCCTGCATGAAAGCCTTTATGAACTGAGTCAGCAGTAGATAAAATGCAACCGCTACCGAACTCATACCGAACCTTCCCTAGACTAAGCCTACTGCCTCAGTGATCCCATCTGAATTCTCTTGTCACTCAAGAAAACCTTTGCACCACCAAATCACATCCCTGTTTCTACTTGGAAATTTTTCAGAGGCTCTAAGAGTTCAAAATAACTCATCTATTTTGGTGCCTGATCAATTATCGAATCCTCTCTAAGACATCATTTCTTCATTCATCCAATACTTCACCCATTCAACGAACGTCAGCTACCTCATTTGTGACTATCTCATGAAGTGAATCCAATCAGCCTTTTGTCCCCCATTATTCTACTGAAAACACACACAGTGAAGGTTGCAATGACCTCTGTGTTGTCCAATCCAGTGGCCAGTTGTCAGTCTTCAACTTCCTGCCCTCTGAGCATCTTCTTGGCACCCAGGATCACTCCCTTCCTGTTGAAACATTTCCCTCACTTGGCTTCCATCACACCACATTGACTTTCCTCC